TCCTTCCTTCCTTCCTTCCTTCCTTCCTTCCTTCCTTCCTTCCTTCCACTGCCGCTGCACAGCTAGGGTCCTCCCGAAGCCCCCTGCCTTACACGGATTTTGTAAAGAGAGTCGGGGGTCTTTCGTCCTCGGCTCACAACCGTTCGTTGAATGGGACCTTTCGGTGTTACCACGACACCAAATACAAACGTGGCTCGTGATGCCTTCTCAAACTTGCAACCGTTGTAGCCTCCCCAGAGTCCCGTGGTCCAAATTCAGGCGCTGGGCAACTGGCATGTACGGTTCCATTATCCCCGGGCCACACGATCCCCTTCTGACAAGCGAAGCCAGGTTCACTTAACAGCCGAACTACTCACTCATCTACTGCAGCGATTCACTTAACAACTAAGGCGAGGAAGTTCGTAAAGTGGGGCAAAACTCGCTTCACACGGGTCTCATTCAACCATAGAAATGGGGGGCTCAGTTGGGGGGGGGGCATTTCTGTAAAATCGGGGTGTCGGGGCCTGAGGATTCCAGGATTGCCAGCTACAGAGGGAGGGTCCTTCGGGGTCGAGGGGTTTCAGGGGTCGCCATTGGAGGAGCGAACGAAAAACCCAACAAACCCCAGACACGTTTTGCTTTCTGCTTGCCAAAGAGGAAAGGGAGACCCCCGGATACCTGGCCACGGTGGACGTCCCGGGGTGGGCTGGCCAACGAGGGAGGGAGGGAGGGGGCTGTCTTCCTTGAGCCTTGACCTGGGGTGGGGGGGGGGGCTTTGAGAGGGGCTCACGGGGGGGGGTGTTCCAGGGGAATTCACCCCCGTCTCTCTCTCTCTCTCCCCCCACAGGAGTGCAAGTCGTACCAGTGGAAGAAGCGGCTCTTCTTCTTCAACCTGCTGGCTTTCCTGCTGTCCATCTGCTTCTACATCCGCCACACCTGGTATTGTGAGGCTGGAGGTAAGGCGGCCCTGGACCCCGGAGCCTTTAGGCCAGGGTCCTGGAGACCCTTTTTTCCTGCCCTCTGAGAGCGGTGCCAAACCTCCGGACCCTCCTCAGACCTTGAACGCCTTTAAGCACGCCTAATGCTAAGGGACTAGAACAGAGGTCCCCAAACTGGGCCCTTTTAAGGCTGGGGGACTTCAACTCCCAGGGTTCCTCAGCCAGCAAAGCAGGGCGGGGTTAACTCAAAGCAAAGCTGGCTGAGGAACCCTGGGAGTTGAAGTCCACCAGCCTTCAAGTGGAGACCTCTGGAGTAGATAAAAGGCCGGTAGGGCAACTAATGACGCTCAAAAGGCCTTCCAAAACATTAAAAACAACACACTTGTCCTCTAGTAATATTGGTCCTTCGGTATTAGCCCATTAAATCAGTATGAATACCACTTGGGCGTTATAAATCATTTTAAGGAGTGAGATTTATTGAAGTCAGCAGACATTTTGGGAGCCCAGAGGCCCCTCACTCCTTGGTGGCTTACTTATTTTATTGAGTGAAAAGCTAGATTTCCGTGGCCGGTTATCGAAAAACAAAGTTGGACTTTTGGTCTGGGAAGCCCAGGCTGAGAGGCTCAGCTTTAGAGCCCTGGAAGCCACGCGGGGAGGTTTCTGCGCATGGCCAGGAGCTCTCTTGGCTGCCGGAAGGGATGAGAAGCGGAGACGCCTGTTGAACGCCAACGGTGTCCCCGATGTGGACCAGAGCATCCCAGGCACGGTGGATTGTGCTTCATATCCCGGCTCTCCTCAAACGTGGCAACTTTAAGACTTGTGGAACTTCCCTTCCCAGAATTCCCCGGCTAGCCACAAATGATAGAGTTGGAAGGCACCAGAAGGGCTGCCTTGTCCAGCGTGTCTCATGCTGGCTGGGGGATTCTGGAGTCTTTAGAAGTGGTTATACGGCGGCCAAGCCCCCTCCTGACGGGCAAATGGAAAAGCTTGGAGCAGGGTCCCAACCTTGGCAGCTTTAAGACTTGTGGAACTCCCAGGACCCACCCACCCCCCCACCCCCAGCCAGGGGCAGACTAGAAGACCTCCGAGGTCCCTCCATGCTCTGCGTCTGCTTCCTCCTTGCAGTGTACACGGTGTTCGCCTTCCTGGAGTACCTGGTGGTCCTGTCCAACATGGCCTTCCACATGACCGCCTGGTGGGACTTTGGCAACAAGGAGCTGGTGGTCGGCTCCCAGTCGGAGGAGAAACGCTTCTAGGCGGCACCGGAAGTGGCCGCCCAGCTGGTGGAGGGAGCTCTTCATGGCGGGGGGGGGGGGGGGGGGGGGGTGCCTGCCCCCCCCCCCCCCCGAAGGGGGGGGGGGGGCCCCCCGCCCCGGAAAGGACTTTTCCACACACCCCTCCTCACCCATCCCGCCTGCTTGGCTCCGGTCAACGACGGGCAGGAAGTATTGCGGCCTTCACGGGCGCCACTCTTCGAAGGACGCTGGCGGCCTGTAGGGGACACCGCTGGGGCTGCTGCTGCCCAGAACTTGGGGAGGGGGGTGGCATGTAACCTCCAGGGTGGTGGGGCCCCTCCCTTCCCATTGGGCATTGCTCCCTGCTGGGGGAAGAGGCGGCTGGCCTGTCTGTAAGGAAGGCAACCGTCCCCGTCGGGTCATGGCGGTGAAAGGACACCCCCCCTCCCCTCGGTTTTCATGAGGAGGGAGGGCTGCTGTGCTGGGAGTCTGGGGAAAGGCTCAAAGTGTGTGTGTGTGTGTGTGTGTGTGTGTGTCCCCAAAAGACACAGATCTAGAGAGTTGGAGGGGGAGGGGGCTGCGTGTGCTGCTGTGCAGTGACCGAAAGGACTTGACCCTGGCGGAAGGAGGGGCTCTGCCGGACGACTGGGGCCGAAGGGAGGCTAGACAAGGTCCGGTTCTTCCTGTGAAGCTGGAATCCGGAGGGTGGCCAGCCCAGGACGGAAGAGGATGGACTCGCTTCTTGGCTCCCCGGTTCCTGCCTGGGGCAGACCGGGGAAGGGAGGCTGAGCCGAGGGGCTGCCCCCCAAAGAGGGCTCCTCCCTTGTGGCCCCCTCCGCAGCAGAGTTGGTGGCCCTGAGCCCGCCAAGGCCTTCGGACCCCGGGGTCCCCCTGGAGCAGGTCCGGTTCCTCTTCCTCCCGTCTCCAGGCGGGGAAATATTGCATCGCCAGATAATGTATTTCCACCTACTTTTTACTCCCCCCCCCCCAAAATAAAGCACTTGAGTATCTTTCTAAGGAGCTAGTTCTCTGGGTGGTTTTAGAGGGGGTGCCGGGGGGGGGGCTGCCTTGTCCCTCCTCCCTCTCTGGGTCTGCAGCCACTCGTTGCTTTTTGCGTCTGGGGAAACAGGAGGGGTGTGTGTGTGTGAATTGTTTCTTCTCCCCCCCCCCATTTGAGGGAACCTGGGGATTCTGGGAGCTGAAGTCCACGTGTCTGAAACATTGTCCAGGCTGAGAAACCCTGGAGGAGAAGGGGGCCCTTCTGCTCCCTTCCAACTCTATCATTCGTGACAGGCTGGGGAATTCTGGGAGTTGAAGTCTTAGAGAGGCCCAGGTGGGGAGGCTCTGCTGCAGTCTAGGTTGGTCCGGCCCCCTTGGCAAGACTTTGCCCAGCTTTACTGGGCCCCCTGCTTCCAAAGGGGGGGCAGGGAGGGAGCTCAGAGGGGCGGGGGACCCCCATCCCATGGGGCACAGTGATGGGGGTGTCCAGCCTGCGCAAGAGCCCCCCCCTCCCCCAAGGAGACGGGGGAGAGCCGCCTTCAAATATCTCACCTCCAGAAGATCCGGCGTTAGCCAATACATGACAGCTGGTCCTTGACTTACAACAGCACTGAGAAAAGGGACTTGTGGCCAGTTCTCCCTCTAGCGGTCAGAGCATCCTGGGGTCCCGTGATCCCCTTTTGCGACCTGATAGGCAAAGCCAGTGGGGAAGCCAGGTTCACTTAACGACCGTGTTATCAACTGCAGTGATTCACTTAACAATGGCAGCAAACAAGGTCATAAAATGGGGCAAGACTCGGTTAACAATTGTCTCCCTTAGCGACATAAATTTGGGGCTCCACTGGGGTTGTAAGCCAAGAAGCTGTCAGCCAGTGGGACAGACCGCCACATGATGGGGGTGGGGGTGCTCCTTGGCTGGGGGTCTTCGCACAGAGCTGGGAAGGATGCTCTGGGCTGGCCAGCTTGACCGGAGGGAGACCCATCGGAGCCGGCCTGAAGGTAGGCAGACGTGGCCCAGAAGCTGCCGGTCAGCCCCGAGAAGTGCGGCTCCTCCAGACTGGGAAGCCGGGCGAAGGGCTGGTTAGCTGACGGCCCTTTCCAGCCGCCTTGGGGTCCGGTTACGTCTGCGGTGGAGGGGAACCAAAATGGCCGCACAGCTGCTCACCCCCTTTTGAAGGAGGACATCTCTGCAGAGGCCTCCAGTGTGACAGCTTGTGGACTTCAACTCCCAGAATCCCTCAGCCAGTTGAAGGCCACACGTGCTGTCCCAGCCACTCTCTGGGAATTGGACAGTTACTTAGGAATGATGAGCTGTCCCCTTAAGGGAATGCATCATGGTAAATGTAGTTCATGTCACGCGGCCACATCTGTAATCCCGATTGGTCACTAATTTGACCCTCTGTGGGTTGGGGGAGTTTTTCCCTCACTTTGCCTGAACTCCCTGACTCATGGCAGCTGCTTTCTATCGCTACAAAGTGGGTTAGGAGATAACCATCTTTTACTACAAGGCAGATAGGGAAAGGATTGTTCACTAAAGAAGAACTTCGTCACAAATGTGAGTTATGAGGATACCTGATGAACCAATAAATGTTCTTTGTTATGGACGTTTTGTTGAGTTTATCTATCTGCATCTGCACAGCTTAAAAATCCACTACTGTGCAGAAGACAGAAAAGTAAAAGATGGTTATCTCCCAACCCATCTCAGAGGGGTCCCGGGCAGGCAAAAAGGGTCTCCGGGACCCTGGCCTAAAGGCTCTGGCTATGGGGCCTGAGGAGCCAGGGGTCAAAAAAAGGCTGGCTGGGGAATTCTGGGAGTTGAAGTCCTCCAGGCTTAAAGGGGCCACAGTGGGAGACCCCTGACTTAGATGACCCTTCTGGTCCCTTCCAACTCT